GTCCCAGGGACACTGGCTTCTCATGTTCGATCCTCTCCATGGAGAGAAAGTCCCAGGGACACTGGCTTCTCATGTTCGATCCTCTCCATGGAGAGTAAGTCCCAGGGACACTGGCTTCTTATGTTTGATTCTCTCCATGGAGAGTAAGTCCCAGGGACACTGGCTTCTCATGTTTGATCCTCTCCATGGAGAGTAAGTCCCAGGGACACTGGCTGCTCATGTTTGATCCTCTATATGGAGAGAAAGTCCCAGGGACACTGGCTTCTCATGTTTGATCCTCTATATGGAGAGAAAGTCCCAGGGACACTGGCTTCTCATGTTTGATCTTCTACATGGAGAGTAAGTCCCAGGGATACTGGCTTCTCATGTTCAATCCTCTATATGGAGAGTAAGTCCCAGGGCAAAGACGAAGCTTGTGTCTGCTGCTGCCCTCATAGGCAGCAGTGGTGACACTTGTCACCAGAGTTTTGGATTAACAGCACACAGTGAATACTCTAAGGTTGGAAAATGACAAGCACCAAATTTTATATTGTTGGTTTTGAAAATCTCTACATTTTTTATGACGCCTGAAAGCAAACATCCATATTCAGTTCACGTTGTGTATATATGTGTAATGTGCACACGTGTGTGGGCGTGCATGTGTGTACGTACATATGGCCAGAGGACCACCTCAGGTGTTACTCCTTTGATGCTGTCTACCTCTCCTGAGACACGTCTCCCGTTAGCCTGAGGCTTATGGATCTGGCTAGGCTGGCCTGCCAATGAGCCTCTACCACATCTGTCTTCATGTGTGTGCTGGGGACTGAACTCAGGTCCTCAAGCTTGCAGGGCATGCACTTCTTTACTGACCCACCCCTCTAGCCCCTCAGTTCTCTTTATCATGCCTTTACCATGCTTGTTTGCTTGTTTCTAGACTTGTACTTGTTAGTACTGTAACTGGTGAATCAGAAATATAAGACAGTCTTTAATCTTTGGAAGTATCAAATTTAGTTGATGGAAATATTTCTAAAAATTCCAAGTTTTTCAAGCAAGCATTATTTTCAACAGTTTCAAATTCAATGTTAGATGTTAGATCTTAGGTGGTCAGGAGGTTGAACATGCCCGTGTGCCTGTATATATATATATATTTCAGCTGGATCCCAGGAGTCATGTGATTTTTTTCCCAGTGCTACTGATTCTATCTTTTTAGAATTAAATTATTATTTTAGTTTCTTGAGTCTTCATCCCCAATTTACATTATCGATTTAAAAAAACAGAGTGGGGGAGGGAGGAGAGAGAAGAAAAAGGCTAGAGCAAAAGGCCAAACCTAATAAAGGCAGGGAGAACAATGTTCGGAGGATATTACAATGCATACATCTTCTAGCGAAACCCAAGGCAGCTCCCCCACGTATGGTAGGCTGGTGAAACGCCATCTCAAGGCCATCCATTTAGCTAATGATCCGCCTTGGTAAAGCGGCACTTAAAAACGTATTTGTCATCTGAACCTGGAGGATAGCTTGCCTTTTAAGAGCTTCCTGCGCGCCTGGCACAGCTGCATCTTCAATGTGAAGTGTGCCACTGAGATCCACCAAAACAGCTTTCAACGCACGGCGCGCGGCCATCCTTCATTCCCTAGGAGAGAGCAAATGAAATTAAAAATACAGTTTAACAAACAATGGACAATTAAAAACTAGTAAGCAATCAAAAATACCATTCACATCCAGGAAGATATTGCTTAGTGTTAAGCTGCTCCTCTTTTGGAAAAAAAAATAGCATTTAAAAAAAAAATCAAAACCCCAACATTTAATGCATGAAACTTTTAATAATGCTTAGGTTTTTATATATTTTCTTTTTAATTTTGAGTTAGAACTTGGGAAGGAAATGCTAAAATGAGATGCTACTACCTACTTTCAGGTTTCTTAGAATAACTCTGGTGAGTAATTCGTTTAAGTATGAGAATAATGAATACATAAACAGGAACACTACATTAACAAGGTCTTTTCATTCTTGGTTATGGACGATTAAAACATTCTAGTTGCCACTGCTATGTTCTGAACTGGTGTGTGGCCGGGTAGCTGCCAGTATTTGTGGGTTACTAAGGGTGGAAAAATTAAGTTATATAGTAACAATAAATAAGCTGTATAAATATACACACATATATCCATACATACCTAAGTGTATTTAAGATAGGGTCTCCTACAGTCCGGGCTGAACTCCCTGTGCAGTGGAGGATGACCCTGACCCTCCGGCCTCCACCTCCCAGCCATGCACCACCATACCAGGTTCTTACAGTGTTGGGGATTGAGTCCTGGCTTTGTGCATGCAAGGATAGCAATGCTCTCAGCTAGGCCGCAGTTCTAGCTCCACGTAGCAATTTTTAAAGATCGCTTCTTCACTTTCTTTTTTTGTTTTGTTTTGTTTTTTGTTTTTTTGGCTTCTTCACTTTCTAATGTGCAACTTTACTTTGCACATTTCCCCCTCAAATACTTGTTAAATACTTAGTTTATTTGACAGGGTCTTGTTACAGCACAGGCTAACCTTGAATTTACAATCCTCCTGCCTCCTAAGAGCTGGAGTTACAGGCCTGTGCTATCATGCCCAACCCCTTAATCTCTATTGTGAGTTACAGCACCTAATGATAAATACAGTTTATAGATCATTGCAGGGGTGGGCTTAAAATATAGAGGCTCAAGAGAAGGAATGATATTTGATTTGAGACTTAGGGTTTGTTTTGAGACAAGGTCTTACTATGTAGCCATGCTTGACCTGGAACTATTCTATAGACCAGGTTTGCCTCCAGTTTGTAACAATACTCCTGCTTCTGTCTCGCAGTGCCAGCATTATAGACATTTGTCACCATGCCTGGTGATTTATTAAATTTTTTAAATTTGCTAATCCATTTATTAGTCACTTATTTTTTCTATTTGTTTGTTTCTTGTCTTTACAAGGTGTCTTAATTAGGGTGACTATTGCTGTGATGAAACACCATGACCAAATAACCTTGGGGGAGGAATGGTTTTATTCGGCTTACACTTCCACATCACTGTTCATCACTGAAGGAAGTCAGGACAGGAACTCAAACAGGGCAGGAACCTGGAGGCAGGAGCTGATGCAGAGGCCATGGAGGGGGCTGCTTACTGGCTTGCTTCCATGGCTTTGCTCAGCCTGCTTTCTTATAGAACCCAGAACCACCAAGCCCAAGAGTAGCACCACCCACAATGGGCTGTGCCCTCCCCCGTCAATCACTAATTAATAAAATGCTTTATAACTGGATCTTATGGAGGCATTTTCCCAATTGAGGTTCCCTCCTTTCAGATGACTCTAGCTTGTGTCAAGTTGACATAAAACTAGCCAGGACACAAAGAATACTGTCAGCTATACAAAAAGGTATTAAGAACAATAAAATCATCCCTTTTACCTATCCTTCAACTTCAGAAGACAGGGATATACAGTCAAAGCCTCTTGTTTACCTTCTTTCCCAAGTCCTCTTCTTATACAATTAATGTTTTATATTAATAATATTGTGTACACTTAGCAATTTGCCACACCATTCCCTATCATGTTAGATATGTGTAGGTTACTATAGGTAGCTTTGGACATTCATTTTTACTACTGTATCCTACTATATAAACGCAATATAATTACGTTCTCCTAATCATGAACAATTGTAGTTTTCCTCCTTTAACAAGTTAGTGTCTCCTTGTGGATACCAGTGAGCATTCCTCTGCGGTCTTGCAGGGTCTGAAGGTGCACACTCATCCTCCCTTTACAGAATACTGTTAAGTTGCGATCATGGTGTCATTTTATACACTTGGCACAAAACTCCTCCACAGAAGAGTTTGTTCATTTTAAGAAAAAGGCTGGGTATGGTGGTGCAGGCCAATAATGCTGGCTCCAGAGTTCACGAGCGTCCTCAGTTACACAGTTGAGTTTGAGGCCAGCCTGGGTGACGTGACACCCTAACCCACCCCAAGAACGGAAGAAAAAAATGAATTCTGCTTGTCTTTGACAAATATCTACTGGGAAAGAAGAGTGCAGAGACCGAAAAATAAAAATAAATAAATAAATAAAATTTTTAAGAACAGCCAGCAGTCAGAGCGGGAGAGACAGTTCAGTGGCTAAGACCACTTACTGCTCTTGTACAGGCCCAGGTTTAGTTCCCCGAAGCCACACAGCAGTTCAGAACTGCCTGTTCCAAGTAACCCAGTTCCAAGGAAATATGACTTTCTCTTCTGACTACCTTGGGCTCCTGCCTGCACACAGATACACTTAGTGGTGTGTACACACACACACACACACACACACACACACACACACACGTAATTAAAAAAGAAAAAAGCTGCAGTCAACCAAGGCTCAAGTGCAAAATTCTCCCTTTTATGAGTCTTTATGACATTCTATCCTGGTCTTTATTGTGACCTCAAAATGAAGATATGGTTGTGCATCCCTGTGATCTTAGCGTTTGAGAGGTCGCAGCAGGACCACAGCAAGAGACCAGTCTGGGCTGTAGAGCAAGTTCATGATCTACATGAGCAAATTAGCAAGGCCATGTCTCATCACTAAAAGGTAACTGAAGGTTACATTACTAAAGAACAGAAGACTAGAAAAACACCACCAGGAAGAACTGTACTTAAACAGCTATCCAACTAGAGTCAGGGAATAATCACAAAAACTACTGATGGTTTTAATTCCTCCAGAAGCACCCAAAGGTATAATGTTATTTTAAAAGTCTACATTTTTTTTTCTTTTTTATCATTTCCATAGAACATACCTTGTTCTTTTGGAACTTCACATATGTGAGAGGAAGGGAAAACAGAACTTAGATGCTCCAGACAAACTTCAAAATACACCCACTTCTTCAGCTAGTCCTGTTAAGCCTTGGTCACATATGCCTAGTTCTTTCTTCTGAACCTTTAAAATTCCTGTTAACTGAACTACACACTAGTATTTGATGAAAGAAACTTGGTATCCGTGGGCATGGTCCCAAGAGCCCCTAGAGATACCCAAGTCCTCAAATCCCTTTTCTAATGTGGTACAGTACCTGCTCACAGTCATCCCCTCCTACTAGACAACTGGAATAGTCTTTCAATACAGGACTTAAACAATGTAAATAAACGCTGTGTAGAGTTGTTATACGGACTCCTTTAGGGAATGATGACAAGAACTTCATACTGTTTAGCATAAATAAAATTTTATTTCTCCTTTAGAATATTTCTTGCCCTCCCTCCCTTTCTCCTTCCTTTATGGTTTTCCTAGAACAAAATCAGCCTAAGCTGGTCTTGTACCCATGAATCTGCCTCCTGAGTGATGGAATTGCAGGTGCCTACCACTGCATCTGGCTTTTCTGAAGTAGTTCTGATCGGCAATTGATTGAATGTGCAGATACAGACCCTGCAGATAGGGAGGGCTAACTGCAATGATAAATATGAGTATCAACCTGGAAAGAAATATAAGGGCTTCAAAAAAGTCTACAGTTTTGCTCTAATCTGGGACCATTACCCATAGTTTGTTTGTTTGTTTTTTCCCCCCAGAAGGGTTTCTTTGTGTGTATTCCTGGCTGTCCTGGATCTCGCTCTGCAGACCAGGCTGGCCTTGAACTCACAGAGATCCACCTGCCTCTGCCTCCCGAGTGCTGGGATTAAAGGCGTGTGCCACCACCACCTGGCCCGTTATCCTTAGTTTGAACAAATTCTATGGAATCCCTCTTTAAAAGGTATAAACAGCTGGACTACCAGGGTAGGATAAAAAAACAAAAGAACAAAACAAAATAAAACAAAAACCCCATAAACGATTGATGGGAACTGTTCAGGGCAAAGAAGAAAACACATTTATTTTCATACCAAGCAGAACTGATCCAATACTGCAAAGTGCAGCTGCCCTAAAAAAAAAAAAAAAAAAAAAAAAAAAAAAAAATCATCGGGCCAGTTCAATCTTTACCCGAAAGCCGCTCTTCCATCTGTAAACCATGAGTGGCTGTACCAGGAGTCCAGATGCTAAATCCAGTCAGTCCTACCACCTTCGGTGTTCAGTCTAACCGCTCTTTCTTAAAACGATCTTAGTTTTAAGATCACCTCTTAACTATGTTAGGAAAATCCCAAACCTCCTCTCTGATGTCTCTTAGTCCAGTCCAAATCATTACCTGGGACGCAGGGGCGGCAGCTGAGTATAAGAACAGAGGGTGCACATGCCTGGGTAGGAACCCTGCCTACATGAACTCGGGACATTTTAGCCGCTTAGCCTGTTTCTTCATTGCTGAGAGTATTAAACGCATGGACAGTGTTCCACGCTTGAAAAGGTGGGGTTCTGTAATCTGAGGTTGAGAAGGGAAGAGTACATAAAGATGCCGTAATAGCTAAAAAAAAAAAAAAAAAAAATCACCAAGATAAATACAAGAGTTGGGGATTTGATAAAACTATCAAAGCATTTGTATTTGTGGAATATAATTAAAATAAAAACGGGTAAATATGATAAAACATGAAATTTCAAATAAATTATTCTCATTGAGTTTTTCCAATAATGCCACTTGGACGCTCAGGTTTAAAACGCCTCCCTTTTCTTACAGTTCCCGATCTTTTGGGAAACCATTATGTGCATTAATAAATGATACTATTATTCATCCAGCCATCCTCCTATTAGGTCTTCTGTAGGATCCCCATACCCTCAGGAAGTCCAAACAGGGAACGCGGTCCTTCGCCTCTTCTGCCGATGTGACTTGACTCCCACACCCACATTCAGTTTGCTCAGCGCTAAGACTTCTGCTTCCCTCATGGGTGGCTGTCTAAAACTGCCGCGTCCCTTACCATTCTCCTTCCCTCTGGCCACCTCCTTTAGTGCTTAGTCTCGGGTAACGTCAACTTCTCTCGGGGCGTCTGTGCGTCCCCAGTATAAAGTCTACCAACCTTGCGCCGCCCTGCTTACATGTCCCATTAAACTGCAGCGCTCTGAAAATGGAAGGGCCGTCCGTTGCCTTTTCCTACAGAGGACGCTCAAAACAGACTCTTAAATCAACTGAACTCGTGCATTTATCTCTGAGCTGGGAAGACAGACTTAAGAGCAAGGACCTCTTTGCAAACTCAATTGCGATGGCTTCCACCTCTCGGGGGTAAGGCGCCTCGGCCCCTGGATTCTGCCCTAACGCGAATTCCAGGGTCTGGGGAGGCTCACGTCCGTACTCTACCGGGCAGGACAGCAGAAATGACGACCACATAGGAAACACCCGCCTTGGCAACACAGCCCGGCGAACGCCAGGGCAAACCCTGGGAGACCGGCTCTGCGCATGCGCAGGCCGCAGAGGGGCGGCCACCGGCGGGACGCGGGCGGGGAGGCCCGGCCCGAGCGGCGCCGTTCTCTCAGGGTGTCTGTCGCTGGCGTTTCCCCAACCCGCTCACAGGGGATGCAGCCTCCGGCAGGGGCGCGACCGCCACTCCCAAACCCTCCGCCTCCTGGTTGCGCGCGCCTCCTCACCCTCGCTGCCCCGCCGTCCTCTGGAAAGGCCAGCGCGTCACCGTGCACAGCGCCTGGCCCGGATGGTGTCCCGACGCGCCGGAAGTCCCGCCCTGCGGCCCAGCGCAGCGCCCGGGGTTTCTGGTGCGCATCCAGGGGTGAAGAGGACGGCTGCAGTTGGCGAGCGAGCTGCCTGTGAGCCTGGGTGCGCGAGGGAGCCGTCAGTCACGTCCGCAGTTGCTCAGTATAGACCCTCATACTGCAGCACCGTTGCCCAAACATAGCCTCCTCCGCCTATTCGCTTCCCTATTTCTTGTCCTTTTCAGAGGCCTCAGAGGTCTTCATAATCCTTCAGCATCCCATGCCCCAGTCTCCTATTTTGGTACTTCAGTAGCGTTAGCGTTTACTTGTGTCCCAGTAACTTCAGGCCTCCGCATCTTTCCATCACGCCATCCAAAACTGTGCCTTCGGCTTTCCTTGTCTGCTTCTCCTTCCATGAGAGCTCCCCTGGGCCTTACCTGTTTTTAGGGGAGCAAGATCTCGGTCCACTTGCCTCGGCCTGCTTCACCACCCCTTTGTGCACACTGCTTGTCTCCTTTGGAGCCAAAGGAATTGAATGCAGGCATAGGCATCCTTATGTGTCCACTATGTGTGAGGGTTAATTTTGTCAACTAGGTTTGAAATCGCCTAATGACATACCTTTGGCCTGTCTATGAAGGTGTTTGCAGAGCTTATCCCAGGGAAGGACCCAACCTTAATGTAGGCCGCATCATCCTATGCACCGAGGTCCCAGGCTAATTACAAAGGGTTTGGAGAGAAGCCAACTGCTTGCCAGCATTTGTCTCTGCTTCCTATGGATGAATGTGGCCAGCAGCCTCATGCTTTTGTTGCCATGCATTTCCCCACTATGATAGACCATATCCTTAAACCAAAACAAACCCATCTTGAGTTGTTTTGGGTCAGGTACTCTGTCACAGTAGTGAGAAAAGTAATTAATACACCATGAAGATGAATTAACTTTTCAGGAGCAGTGTGAGGTGATGGTTTACTCATACAGAACCTCTTGCTGAGATTGCTGCTCTGATGCTGACCCAGAACCCGGATGCCATAGAGCGCCATCTAGCACTTTCTCTTCGCAGTCTTGCAGTCAACAGTGTCACTGAGACAGATGAGGGAGACCCACCTCTCCTTAGGAAATGGGGTGGAGAAGTCTGTTAAGATCACTTTGTGTAGTAAACAGGCCTTACTGTAAGCACTCACTTTGTAACAAGCGAAGACCCTGGGGAACAGGCAGCTGTGAGCAGAAAGCCTGAAACAGCCGTCCTGACTCGCCCCATGCCAGCACCAGCCATCCCAAACACCCCACAGACACTGTGGCGGTTGGAATGAGGATCCGCTTCCCCCATGTATTTGCATACCCAGTTGATGAACTGTTTGGAGGGGATTAGGATGTGTGTCCTTGTTGGAGGACGTTTGTCATTGGTGGGCATGTTTTGAGGTTTCCCAGGTCTGCCAGGCCCAGGTTCTCTCTGCCTGTAGCCTGTGGATTAGGATGTAAAGCTCTTAGCTACTGCACCAGCACCATGATTATAACAGGCCGACCCTCTGAAACTGTAAGTACACCCCCAATTAAATGCTTTCTTTTATAAGAGTTGCCTTGGTCATGGTGTCTCACAGCAATAGAACAGTGGCTAAGACAAAAGTCTTGAGATGACAACTGTGATGGCTATTATCGGTTATTACCTTGACAACATCTGGAATCCACTACAACTCAAGCTGAGGATAGTTGAGCAATTTTTTTTCTTTTCAGTTTTTTTTTTTTTTTTTTTTTGGTTTTTCGAGACAGGGTTTCTCTGCGTAGCTTTGCGCCTTTCCTGGAGCTCACTTGGTAGCCCAGGCTGGCCTCGAACTCGCAGAGATCCGCCTGGCTCTG